ATATATATATATATATATATATATACTGTATATATATAGTAACAATATAAAAAGTTTTCCCTGTCATTTTGAATCAAATTAATGCATCCTTGCTGAATGAAAAGTATTAATTTAGTTTAAAAAAGTCTTACTGACCACAAACTCTTTAACAATACTGTATATGAAAAAATGTATAATATAAAATTGTGTTATATAAAATGTAAATATACAATAAAGCATACAGTTTTAGTTACACACACACACACACACACACACACACACACACACTCTTTAACCTAAACAAGACAAATATCTTTTCTTCCAGTGAATACCAGCAGCCTTCTTGTTTGTTCTGGAAAGCTGAATGAATGAGCATATGTGTGCGTCTTACAGACACAGACACACACACACACACACACACACACACACACACCCCAGAGATGTAGAGGAAACTGGACAGTGATCCGACAGAGAGTAAAAGTGTTTTACAGTCTGTATGTGTATGTAGGTATGAGTTAGTTCAAGACCCAGCCAAATGGGTGAGTGTGGATTCGAAGACAGGAAAGATCACCACAGTCCAGAAGATGGACCGGGAGTCTTCATTTATCAAAAATGGCACCTACACTGTCGTAGTGCACGCTATAGATGACGGTAAGCACTGAACTATCTGTTCTCAGTATGTTCAACACAATCCAAACTTTTGTAAAAGCATCGAAAGTCATTTAATGTTCTTAAAACACTCATTTAATCTCTGAACGCAGCTGTCACTGACTTTTCCCCACATGCTGTTCACAGGACAGCCTCCAGCTACAGGCACATGTACTGTAGTGGTCTACCTAGGCGACCAGAACGATAACGCTCCCTATCTCGTATCTAAAAACGCGGTCATGTGCGGGAACAAAGTCAATCGTGTGGATGTGAAACCAACAGACCTTGACGGCCCTCCGTTTGCAGGTCCTTTCACCTTCTCTCTGGGAGGAGAGGAAGAGCTGAAGAGTCTCTGGAAGCTGGATCCCACCACAGGTCAGGTTCATTTACTCATTTACAGTTACACAGATAATGCTTGAGGACGTTTCTGGCTACATCAGTTGGGGGGTTGCACAATAAAAATAATTTTAAAAATATAAAAAACATGATACATTTACATGAGATTTGCATTAGGTACTTGGACTTGTTTGTACTAAATATTTCTTGACTTTTACTAATTACGTTGATAAGAAGCTTTTTCAGTCACACTTAAGTTCAAGGGCCAATTCTCGCTATTAACCAACTATTAACTCTGACTTTTGCCTCAGTAAGCTCCTAATTTGCTGCTTATTAATAGTTAGGAAGGTAGTTGTTAAGTTTAGGTATTGGGTAGGATTAGGGATGGAGAATATGGTCATGCAGAATATGTGCTTTATAAGCACTACAGTTTTTGCCTATTGCTTGAACACTATAGACACATGCTTAGACCAAAGTAACAAAACTTGAAGCTTTTGTTACTATACCTTAAACACAGTGTAACCATACCTTAAACAAAAGCGCTGCTTTGCACTTCAGTTGCAATTCTGCAACACACTTGCTCCTGCACACTACACACTATTTCATACATAAGACACTTCGTTCGTAAATGAAATCTCATGGGTGCCATTGGGAAAACACATCTATTCAAAATACAAAACACATTGGGTTATTGAAAACACGTAGACACACACCTGAAAACACTTACTTACAAAACTGATCACCAATCAGCCAACCACAAATAGGACTCAGTTGAGCCATTTTGAGAACTTTGCAAGCATGGAGGCAGGGAGAGCAAGAGGTAGAGGCAGAGGAAGAGGAAGACAAACAGAGAGAGGAGTAGGACATGGTCGAAGAGGCTATGCACGGAACAATATTTCAGATGATATTAGAGCAACGTTGGTGGATCATGTGATAAATCATGGCCTGACAATGAGGGAAGCTGGGCAGAGAGTCCACCCACATCTAAGCCGGTTCACAGTTGCATCCATCATAAGGACATTCAGACTGGAAAACAGGTATGTCTTCAACTCTCCACTCCAGACTGTATCTACAGTATTTACAGTACTGTACCATATCACATTACTGTATCACATGTACTGTATTGCAAGTTGGCTAGTGCTCCTTTTGTAACAAAAAATGGTAGTTTTGTGGAACATACAGTACAGTATAGTACATAGCACTGTACCATTGAGATGTTACAGTACTGTGTACAGTATACAGTACTGTAAAAAAGAACCAAACCAATAACAATTTGTGGTTGCATTTTTCTACAGAATGACTAGAAGACCTTCTGGGGGTGGTCGGCAACGCCTGTTCACCCAACAGCAGGAACTTGCCATTGTGGAAATGGTCAGAGCAAACAATGCAATCCGTCTCCACCAGCTACGGGAACAAATACTTGCAGATAGGCAAGTATTCATCAACATCAATCGAGTAGGCATTTCCACGATCAGACGTGTCTTGGTAAAGCACAAAATCACATTGAAGCAATTGTACAAGGTCCCATTTGAGAGGAACTGTATCAGGGTCAAAGGACTTCGACAAGAATATGTACAGGTAAGTGTTGCAGTCCTTACATTTACAATACAGTATTTATGTAATCCAGTACAGTAATAGCTGAATATGTACCATTGTATCAGTACCACATAGATACATGCAGAGAGGGACACAGGTACCTGTGCGTTTGTGTGTGGGGGGGTTCTGTATGTGAAGTACTGTAGTTGTGTGTTTTGAGTAATGCCAGCCATCCATGCTATGTATTTTTTGTTGCAGAACATCTTGGACATGGATGGAGCTGCACAGCCTCATGAATTTATTTACATTGATGAGGCTGGTTTCAACCTCAGCAAAACTAGACGACGGGGTCGTAATATAATTGGCCAAAGGGCAATTGTGCACGTCCCGGGGCAACGTGGGGGAAACGTCACAATGTGTGCCGCCATAAGCCTACGAGGGCTACTACACCATCATGCCAAACTAGGTCCCTACAATACGCAACATATACTCACATTTCTCGATGCACTTCATGATGCAGTTGTACAGGACAGATCAGAGCAGCCCAGGTTTGTTGTTGTCTGGGATAATGTTAGTTTCCACCGGGCTGCTCTGGTCCGGGACTGGTTCACCAACCATGATCAATTTGAAGTTGTATACTTGCCCCCTTACTCGCCATTTCTAAACCCTATCGAATAATTTTTTTATGCTTGGAGATGTCGCGTATATGACCGCCAACCACATGCCCGCATGCCTCGTCTACAGGCAATGGAAGAGGCATGCGGAGACATTGAGGTAACGTCAATCCATGGATGGATTCGGCACACAAGGCGTTATTTTCCCCGTTGCTTAGCAGGAGAAAATATCGCTTGTGACGTTGATGAGATCCTGTGGCCAGACCCAAACAGACGGCAGGATCTGTAATCCCACCCACGCACAATTGGCCTGTTTTTCTGTATTTACAGTAGTGTATTTTGTGTTTTATTTTTGCATTATTTTTGCATAACTGCATTTACTGTACTGTACTGTAAAGTATAGTACTGTGATGTGCAGTATTGAGTTGATGTCATTTGTAACCTTTCAGTACTTTCATTTTTGGTTGTTGTGAAAACCTTTGTTGGAAAAAAACAGAACAAAAACTGTAAGTGTTGCATTGAGCTTCACAGAATGCTAACTGATGAACTGAATAAAAACAGTGAAAATTAAAGACTGCAGTGTTTTATATAAAGTACACTAGTGTGTTGCTGCTAATCTGAAAGTGTATTCATATGATGCAAGTGTGTATCATTTTGTCATCAGAGTGACATTTTGACAAAGGATTGTTAGGTTTTGATAGCAGAGTTTCAATTCGACATAGATGTGAATGGTTTATTTCCCAGTGTTGTGTCTTGTGTGCTTGTGTGTAAAGTTTTGACACAATGAGCCAAAGTTTTGCAAAAAGTGTTCAAGCAATAGGCAAAAACTGTAATTAAAAATAATTATTTGGATTATTTTTGTCATAAATTTTAATATAATATAGTTGGATATAATGCATCATTACTTTTGGCCCACGACCCTCAATTTCAACAAGTTTGATTTTTGGCCCTTCATATTAAAATGTTTTGGCATCTCTGCTCTAGACAGTGTTATTTTAGTGTCATAGAGATACTATTATAGTTTTTAGTTAATATTTTTTATTTTTATATTTTCTGTTTTCAATTTAATTTGAGTTCAAGTTTTAGTTATTTTGTTCTGTATTTTCAATTTTTTTTTATAAATATAAATATATAAATGTAAAAAACTAAAATTATATATATATATATATATATTAGTTTTCTATATGTGTTAGTTATATCTATGGTTTGTAATAATTTTTATTGTAGTTTTAGTTATTTTGTTACATGTTATACTTTTTAAAAAAATATATTTTCCGTTTTCATTTTAATTTTAGTTGTTATTTTGTTGTCTTCTC